TAATATAATATAATATAATATAATATAATATAATATAATATAATATAATATAATATAATATAATATAATATAATATAATATAATAATGATATAATTNTAGTTATTTAATACGAACAATATTGTTTTATTTAGTGCATACAGCGAACAAGAAACAGTAGCAGAAATAAAAAAATAGATAAGAAAAAGGAAAAAATACAAATACAAATAAATACAAAATTATGCAAAAATGAAATTAATATTTTTGACACAATACAGTTTTTATCCTATGTTATGTCATTTCTATTTTATTCAGAGTGATCCTCGATGAATATTCTGTGATTATTATTTTTCACAACATTTTTATAGCTCTTCCTTCATACATGACCAAATTACATTAACTTGACCCAGTATTCTTCGCTTAGGTACAGCATTTTCGGCACTAAAAGTGTTAATGGCAGCCACTGTGCATGTAATAATTCGATTACGGACTTAACGCGTTTACGACAAAAATGGCTAGATGCAATTTCAAACATTAAAAAGCATTAGAAGAATTTAACCATTTTTATTTTGCATAAAAATTCAGAAACTGGCAAAAACGCGCGCATCGTACAATAATTGTGCACGAATTGAAACTTTCGTCGCTTCTGTCACTCCACTCGATTACGACGTCCCATTCGTAAACGTCGGAGATCTTGATTTATATCTGGGCGGCATTGTTGCATTTTTTCCAGAAATAAAATAGCACGAGGTATCGAGGGGGGAAAAAAACTCGTTACCACCTTGTCAAGCCGGGAAACGAATAACCGTAATTATTCGTGAGTCTTTTGCCGACAAAATTCTTGCAAATCAAAGGGAGAGGAGAGTTCCCTAAGAACGCGTTGCCGCGTACCTTGGTATCTGTTCGAGCGGCGATAGCATGTCCCCGGTAATCGCAAAGAAAAATGTCGCTGATCTAGAAACTCGCGAGTCATCTTGGACGACATGATCCGCCATGATTAATCGTTCGAGATGAAACGAAGCTCCCGTAGTCCTCCCGGTTGCCAGAACGGCTGCATTATCTACGAAGAGGGAACTCGCAAAATCATGTGATTACAAATTAGATCAGCGACTTCCCGTGGCGCTCACAGTGCCGGCGACGATTGCTATTGATTTCGATATCGATTGCAATTCCATTGAATAGCGGCCTCCGCGGCCACACGTAGCAGTGAATTCTTGACAAATGAGCGGACAGTCGGAATATCGATGGTGATGTAGTGCTCGATTAATCTTGAGGTTGAAATTTACTGATTGTGAGTTCGCCAATATGAGAGATAACGTGTTCTCGAACTTTATAATTTATCTAGCACCGAGAACAACTGTTTCATGTTGTTTCATCGATATTACGGGCATTTATTTATTCAAATTTTTAGCTTCTTTTTGAT